CTTTTCAGGTTTTTTAGCATACAAAAACTTTTCAGGTTTTTTAGCAAAAGAAAACTTTTCAGGTTTTTTAGCAAAAGAAAACTTTTCAGGTTTTTCAGCAGAAAGAAAACTTTTCAGGTTTTTCAGCCATCTATTGAAAATCGGCACAAACTCTCCGGACAATCCAATAAATCATTTTGAAATAGATTCAGACAACTTACTTAACTTTGTTTAATTTAATATAATTTTCATTAGCTTTGTACATATGATAAATAATAGATAAAGATAAATCATCTTCCCAATTATCTTTCATACGAACAACTTTTTTGTGTTGTGGTAAATCGATAGTTGTTGTTAACATATTTTCAAGTATGCCATTCAATTCGTTAAATTTGATCCCTATATATCTATTTAAAACAAAAATGAAACAAAAAAAAAACAAACATTAAATATAATTTCTTCATTATTAATGATTAATTAATAAATAATAATACCACATTGAACTTACCTAACCCAAAATACAAATGAAAAATCAATAACAATAGTTACAATAAGAGTAATACTATCGAATAAATAAAGTCTTAAGGTGTTAAATAAATCATATGATTCGTTGATCTTAGAAAGCCACCAACTATCACAAATTACTAAACCAATTAGTATAAAAAAGTAACATAAAGCACCTATATACTGATAACGAATTATAGAAAAATAATTTGATGATACATTTAATTCTTCTATTCGTCGTGTACAAGTTTCCAATTGTTTAATAAATAATTTTATTTTCTGTAACAAAAAAAACAAAAACAAATATTGGTATTTATTTAACAAAAAATTATTGATGAATAATAGATATCACATATACACATGAAATTATTAATAAAAATATAATATATTTATATATTTATATTTCTATTATTATATTATTTGGTTCCCCTATATATATTATTTTTTTAAATATATTGATAAAATGTAATATTAAAAAATATATAATTAAATACGAATATATTAGAAAAATATAATAATAAAAAAAATATATATATATTTAAATTATTATTAAAAATATAATATATTTATATAATATTTATATTATTATATTATCTATTTACCCTATATACTTTTTTTAAATATAATAAAAAAATGTAATATTTTAATATATAATTAAATACGAATATATTAACAAAATATAATAATAAAAAAATATAATACTTAAGTATATAATTAAATAAAAATATAATAATAATATATAATATATAAATATATAAAATAAATCTAAATATAATGAAAAAATATTATAATAAAATATAATAATATATATATTATAATATATCAATATAATATAATAATATAATATAATAATATAATAATATATATGCTATATATTTCTTCTTATGTATATATATATATATATTTTTTTGTAAATTTAATGCAACTATAAATAACACAATAATTATTTAAATAAAATAATTATAAACCTTTCTTCTTGTAAAACCAAGGACAATAGTCATAATATACAAAAAAATATTATTATAATTTTGAAATTTAATTATTATTCTTATCATTTTTCTTCCATAAATATTCACCGAAGAATACATCACACTTTTAAACTGTACACATGAAAAACCATAATGAGTAATACATAAAATAATGTAAAAATAACCAATAGTTATAATCATACGTTCTTCAAAGTATTCAATTAGGCCAGTACAAAATATTGAATTGATTACAATCAATGGCATAATTAATCGTTGAAATTTGTTCAATTTATACATTTTGATTATTTTTTTTTTTTTTTTTTTTTTTTTAATTTAAAGTATCACTTTTTTACTTGAAAAACAAAATATTACAATTTTTTTTTTTTCTTATTCTCAAGTATGATCTAACTTGAACTACACGTGTCATACTAATTCTCATGTTATAAAAGTACATTTCACTTTTCATTATATTCAAGTGTTTTTATAATCAATGTTATTACGATCTTTCATGGTTTATTTGAAATAAAAAAAAAAAAAAAAAAAAAAAAAAAAAGAAACAGAAAAAATAACTAATCATGCAATTCACTTTACTTCAACTTCTATGCATCAAGTTTAAATATTATTTTTATCATTTTTATCATGAA